GGTGTGAACGTACAGGCGAGGCACCCAGGACACCCCGTCGGGACAAGGAGACGCTGGAATAAGCGTGTGTCAGGGTAGAAGTGGGTCCATGCACAGACCCGGAAGGGCAGTGTGAGGAGTGATCATCCCGAGCAAAATAATCGTGGATTAAGTTCGGCAGGACTGAAGGGTGTATCCTGGATGAGGCGGGGTGAGATGTAAGGGGACGTACTCGGGGGCCAGACAGTTTTGGGTCCTGTGCACCAACTTCAGGAAGCTTCCTTTCCATGTTGGGTGTCCCTCATTCTTACGACCTCATAACACCTAACGGTCACATTACAAGGTCACCTAGAAGTGAGTGACATGACCAGCTTTAAACATTCCCAACCTCCTTTTAATAATAAAAATATAGAGGGGCGCCCGGGTGGCTCAGCCTATTATGGGTCCAGCTCTTGGTTCCAGCTCCAGTCATGATCTTGCGGTTCGTGGGTTCAAGCCCCGCTTCGGGCTCTGTGCTGGCAGCGAGGAGCCGGCTTGGGATTCTCTGTCCCTCTCTCTCTGCCCCTCCCCCAATCATGCTTGTGCTCTTTCCGTCAAAATAAATAAATAAACTTAAAAAATATGAAATGCAAGAAGGATGCTTGTAAAACCTTGCCATTCAGTTAAAACAACTGGACCTGTAAGTGGCGGCTGGTCTGAAATAGTTCCTGTGTACTAGACCTGAGGATTTGTATTGACTCGATGTCCAGGGAGCCCTGACAGGGTGATATAAGAGCTGAAGGCGCTCATTTGCTCTTGGGGTGCAGAAATAATGTCAGGATGGAGACAGGTCTCTGCTCCAAGAGGAGTGCTGTGCAACCAGAGAGGTCGTTCTCAGAAGAGTGGGCAGGATGAGGTGGGATCCAGATGCAGCATCCGAGGTACAGCTGAGGGCCCTGGGATGCTTATTTAGATCAAAGAAGATGAGTCTTGAGGCGGCCACGGAGGTGGCTTTCCAATGTTTGGAGGGCGGCAGTGTGGCAGCAGTATGACTCACGGGTGAGAAGTTTCAGGAAAGCCCAACCTAAGAGAGTAATTGTTGTCCAGTAACGCAAAGCCCTCACTTCCAGAAGGGACTCCCATCCCCGGGATGCGGAAGCAGGCTGGAGGGGACAGGTGTCTGGAGGGCCGGGAAAGGGACTGCTGCCCTCCCTCCGAGGGAGGCTGCACGTGGCCTTCAGATTCTGACGTTTGGGATTTGATTTCCCACAGTTTACCTAGCTCCTCCCTGAGACTGTTTATGATTTCTGCCCTGAACGACTTGGTACTGTTAAAAGCTAACAGCCAGCCATCGCCACCGGCCACTGGCATCACATTGCCTTAAGAAGCGACCCTTCCCCGCTGACTCATGGCCTGTGATTCTGACAAGGAGCACCTTTCTGCAAGGTGCCTGCCAGGTGCTCTCCTAGTGCCTCTCCTGGGCCTGGGGCTCTCAGCCCTTCAGTATATCTGTGACCCCACTTCCCGGGGCGGCTTCCGCCTGCCGACCCCCTCTGCGGCCTGAGCTCAGCACCCCAGCGCCCAGCCTCCCTTTCTTGGGTTTCGGGCTCCGTGTGAGTGATGTCTGCATCTGGCTGGAAATTAAAACAACTGTCTGCATTGCATTCGGCCCGTCTGTCAAAACACAGCCCGGCTCTCAGCAGCTGGGACAGGGGGCCCTGAATGGGAGCAGTGTCTCCGGCAACAAAGGCCACTTTCACGCCAAGTGCCACGGAGATAGTGAGAACCCTGTTCTTCTCCAAACATGAAACTAAGAGCACAACTATTTTTCCTGTTTCCTGGGCCCTCCTGGTGGGAATTTCTCTCTTTTTTGTAATGCACAGAGTTGAAGAGCAAAGCGAAGCAGGAAACTTACGAGAGTGGGGGTGTGGTTCGAAGACTCGAATGGTGTCCCCCTCAAGGATGTCATAGCCGTGCCCAAACCAGAAGCAAGAAATGTCACAGGGACCAGGAGAAGACCCTCAAAGTCACATGTTTGTGGGTCCTCAGTCTTTCCTATGTTCATGTGCTTCTATATTCATTCACCAACCAATGCTCATTGAGCACATCCTACGTACAGGCCAGCACTAGCCACTTCAGGGGAACGAAAACAACAACAGCATTAAAACACAGTCATCACCTTCAAGTTGCAAACAGACTAGCAATAAAAACAACACACAGGAAAGTGATGTGTGTTCGAAGAGAAGCGCTGCAAGAGAGCTGAGGGGATTCACAGCAAAGAGAAAATACTTTTATGTCTGCTGTGTCCAATGCAATAGCCACTCTCTTGTGAGGTTATAAGCATTGGAAATGTGGCTAGTTCAAACTGAGATGTGCAATCAGGACACAATACAGCCTGCATTTTGATGATTTTTGTATGGAAAAAAATGTACAATATCACATTAATAACTTTTTATGGAGACGTTAAAAAATGAAAATTTTCAAACATTGGGTTAAATGAAATCCATTGTTAATGTCACTTCTTTCCCTCTTACTTTAAAAAATATAGCTACTAGGAACGCATGGGTGGCTCAGTTGGCTCAGCGTTCGACTTCTGCTCGGGTCGTGATCTCGTGGTTCATGGGTTCGAGCCCTGCGTCGGGCTCTGTGCTGACAGCTCAGAGCCTGGAGCCTGTTTCAGATTCTGTGTCTCCCTTTCCCGCTATCTCTCCCCTACTCCTGCTCTCTCTCTAAAAAAACTAAATAAAAATTAAAATTTAAAAAAAATATATAGCTTCTAGAGAAGTTAAAATTGTACACAGAGCTTGCATTTGTGGCTTGTGTCTTATTTCTGTGGGACGGTGCTGCTCCAGAAGGGGGGGGGGGGTCCCAAGCAGGTTTTATGAGAAATAAGGCATGTGCCTGGGTCTCGAAGAGGGAATGATACTGACGCAGATGAAGACCCTGTGCAAAGGGGAAAGCGGGGTTTCTTCAGAAGACTTGGCATGAGAGCAAGGGAGAGGTGGGTATAGATCTGGAAAGGCAGGTGCGGGTTCAGCTGGGAAGCAGGGAGAAGACCACAGAAGTGGGGACATAGGAAGTGTCTGAGCTCCCCAGCCTCTCAGCCAGGGCACGTCCTCTGTTAAGAGGTGGCCCTGAACCTCTCTCAAGGAGCAGTGGCGCTCGATGCAGGGTCCTGGATCCGGCACTGCTGGCATGAGCTGTGGGCTCAGGAGACAAGATCCTGAGCCTGCTAGGTCAGACAGAGACCCTGGGATGGGGCCTGAGAAGTCGCTCTAACAAGCTCTCCCCACTGATTCTTACGTCCTCAAGATTGGAGACCTCGGATACAGATAACCTCGCCCCTCGGGGAAGTCTTTTGAAATGTCAAGCCCCAGGGCCAGGAAGAAATGGAATAAAACTCTGCCTTGGGAATGTGGAAAGGAAGAGACCCGATTGAGGGGGAGAGGGGGCTGCTTTGTGTCCAGGGAGAAATTACCCCTGATAACTCTGAGTCTGCAGAAGCCCTAAAGGACCAAGTTTGAATCTCTGATGTCTTGGTGCTTCACCCTGCATCCCAGGTGACAGGCGCCCTGCTCTGGGACCCGGAGTCTAGGGGGATGGGGCGGGATGGGGTGGGGCTGGGAGTTGGTTCTGGAGACTCAGGAAGGAGGGTGAGCTTTCTCCTGGGGAGCGTCTGTCCACTGAGTCAGGCGGCACTCTCTCAGGGCTGACTCAGAGTTTAATGGGACACTCTGTGACGCTTTAATTAGTGTTTGTTTATTATGATTGCATTTAATTATGCCTCAGCATGCCCCCCCCCCCCCCCCCGCTCCCTTCCTGAGTGCTGGGATCCTAGGGTAGCCAGGCTCTATGAGCGTGGCAAGGAGAAGCCCACAGTCAGGAGGACGCCCTTCTTCTGACCCCTCCAGCGCCTTCTCCCCACGAACCCGGAGCTGCTTAGGACCCATTCCGCCCTCACACTCTGCATTCTTTTCTGCTTGATCTTATGTCTTATAATTATACCTCTAATGAATATAACTGTCCTATTAAGTCATTTACCGAAGAAATACTCTTAATTAAAGGTGACTCATACTGCGTTCTTGGCTCCTCTGGCCCTGGGGCCCCGCGTCTCTAGTGCCTTCCTTGGCCTGGTTCAGTGGGGTTGGAGCACTATGTGGGAAGGCATCACCAGGGAGGTGCAGAGTTTAGGGTGGCTCTCCCCACGCTCCCTTCTTTCAGCACAGTGTGTAGTCCACAGGGTGTGCCTTGTGAGGGACATGATATCAGATTATTACTGGCTATGGGGACAAGTCACAGAAAATGGCGGGAACCAGCCTCATTCCTCACGATCTTGAAGAACATGGCAGACCTGTGGGCTCTGGACCACCCAGGGTGAGGCCAGGAAGGCCTTTGAGGCCCTGGACAGTGACTGCCTCAGGTGCAAACACGTCACCGCTCTTCAGTGACAAGTGTTCTCCACTGGCGGAGAGAGGACCCAGGGTCCTTTGCCAAGCGAGCTTGGGAACAGATATAGCATGTTTCTGCCATCCTGTGTGGACACATGGAAGGAGCTCCCATCTCCAGCTGGGTCTCCTGGAGAAACAACTGAGTCGAAGGAGCACAAGACGTAGGATGTTGACAATGGACTGTGCCTAGGTCCCCTGCGCTCCTTAAACATTTACTGAGCATTGGACTGACAGCTCAGAGCCTGGAGCCTACTTTGGAATCTATGTCCCCCTCTCTCTCTGCCCCTCCCTGACTTGTGTTCTCTCTGTCTCTCTCTCAGAAATAAATAAATAGACAAATAAATGAATGAATGAATAAATAAATAAATAAATAAAATTTTAAAGTAAAAAATTATTAGTAAACTCTGTTTGGCACTGGGGCTATCTATCCTCTGCCTCCCTGTAGCTCTTGGTTTATTTGAGGACAAACCTAGGAAACAGATAATCTCTATACAGTGGGATAGACGTCACAATAGAGGTACAATCAAGACACAGTCATTGCTCAAAGGCCCGAGAGCAGAGGTCCTGGGGGGGGAGGGGCATGGCACTCGCATCCAAGAAGCCTGCAGGGTTCCCGCGCTATGGAGCCCAGGAGAGACCCCGACAGCGGAAGAAGTAGGGAAAAGCTGTTCCACAGGCTGGTGGGGCCCCTCAGAGAATGAGCACTTAATCCCCAGCCCCCCCTGGAATCTGCTACCCCTGCCAGATGGCACACCTGTCCCCACACGTGTCCCCTGCTTCCTGATGCAAGGAAAGAAACAGAGGCCTTCTCAGTGGCCGGGAGCCAGGTGGCGGGAGTGGGAGGTGTCACAGCCTGGCCGGCGCATACAGTTGGCCTCATCAACAGGCTCCTGGTCCCCGGGGCCGGGCCAAGTGCACAGCGCAGCAGCTGAGGCACAACTGCGTCCCTGAGCCTTGTACTCTCCTCTGTGCCATCGCTGGGTGGTCCCGCCGGTGGCCCACTCTCCCTTCCAGGGTAGGCTCTCAGACCCACCTTCTCCTTTCCCCCCTCACGCAACCTGTTTTCCCGCAATGAGCTGACGCTCTTTGACATCCACGGCTGCGGGCAGACCGAGGAGAGCCCCGGCCAGGCCTGGCGCTTGGCCCGAGATCCCTAGTGCCATCACCAAGGTATCCGGGGACTGGTCCAGCTTTTCAGAAGTGCACACACTTTATCCTGCTCAATCTGCCCAACACCCCAGGGAGGACGTCGGATGAGGCAGTGTTAGGTAGTATGATTTCCATTCCATCTACCAGGAAATTGAGGTCCCTGGAGGGCTGGCTTAGCCCTGGGCTTGGTCTCGCCATGAGTGGCCAGGTGGCCAGCTGGAGGAGAGTCCACCATTGCCAGAGCTGGTGACATGCTTATGGGGGCCTTTTTCTAATTTTTTTTTAAATTTCTATTTATTCATTTTTGAGAGAGAGAGAGAGAGAGAATGAGTGGGTGAGGGGTGGAGAGAGAGGGAGATAGAGGATCTGAAGCGGGCTCTGCACTGACAACAGCAAGCCTAATGTAGGGCTCACTCACAAATGGTGAGATCATGACCTGAGCCAAAATCAGATGCTTAACTGACTGAACCATCCAGGTGCCTCCACAAGGGATCTTTTTGAGTATGGGGAGGGATAGGAGGTTCAGGGGACAGTTCCAGTAGAAGTTTGAGGCGAGACCAGAGCAAGGTTCAGGAGGCAGGAAGCAAGCTGGGGGGTGGGGGGCAGGTAGGGCATTTGCGTCTCTGTCCCCAAGTCCTTTGTAGCTTGCTGGCACCCAGAGTGGTTCACTGGTGGATGGGTGGGTGGGTGGGGTTTCTCATCACAGGCTTTCCCCAAATCCAGGCAGCCCTGGGGCGATGGGTACCTTCAGTCTTGGGAGGCCTGAGTGCTTGGGGCTCTGTCCTTCCCTTCACTCCCGATGGGGCCAGGGTTCAGAGTCCACGGGGAGAGGGACATGGGCCACCGGTCAGAGAGATCTAACCCAGTGCCCAGCCCAAGCCACAGGGAACCCTCCCGGGACAAGATGGGCTGCACTGGCTGCTAATGTGCTTCCTGTCACCCACGGGTCTGTAAAATCCCAAGGTCAAATACAAGTTCTCTGTCCTGTCCTTTATAGGCAAAGAGCTAATTGTCTGCTGGCCATCTTCATGGAAAACTCTCTGCTGGGAGTGGGTGGGGGCAGAGCTAGGGGATCCCCACCTTGGATCTACTCCCCAAGGATGGGGGGGTGAGGAAGTGATAGGGACTGAGGTCTCCTGCTGACACCTGGCCGGCCCCTGGCTAGCATCACCCTGCTCCACGCTGGGAAGTTGGCTGAGCATGTGGAACAGAATGAAGCAACAGGAATAATGATAGCGATAGCTTCCATTTATCCAGTGCCGACTGCATGCCAGACACTTTGTGTGTATTATCTCATTTAATCCCATGCCAGCTTTGCAAGCAAGGTAGTCTTAGGCTCACTTTACTTATTAGAAAACAGTCTCAGGTTAAATAGCCTGCTCAAGGTCACGTGCCTTGCAGGTGGCAGAAACAGAACTGGAGTTCAGGTTTGTCTGACCCCCAGGCTGAGGCAGTAAGGTAGAGACAGGCAGCACTGAAGAGGAAGCCCCCCCATTCTGAAGTTGCCCAAGAGCTGGCAGTCAGGGCCACCTTTCTTTGCCCTAGAAATCAGGTGCCAGTCGCAGTGCCTGGCTTTACTCTTGGACACTGCAACTGCAGGCAGTTCCCCACTTACAATGGTTCGACTTGAGATTTTTGGACTTTAAGACGGTGTGAAAGCGATACGCATTCAGCAGAACCCGTATTTTGAATTTTGAATTTGGATCCTTTCCCAGGCGAGCGATGTGTGATACGATGCTCTCTCCGGATGCTGGGCAGCGGCAGCGAGCACGGCGCCCAGTCAGCCGCGTGACCCCAAGCGTAAACAGCCGACAGCCTCAAAACCATTCTGTACCCAGACAACCATGCTGTTTTTGACTTTCAGTACAGTATTCAATCCATTGCATGAGATATGCGACACTTTAATATAAAATAGGCTTTGTGTTTGATGCTTTTGCCCAACTCTAGGCTAACGTTAAGTGTTCTGCGCACGCTTACCTTAGGCTAGGCTGAGCTACGATGTTCAGTAGGTTAGGTGTATTCAGTGCATTTCAACTTACGATGGGCTTATCAGGACGTAACCCCCTCTCAAGGCCAGAAAGATCTGTGCATTTGCCTACATGACCACTGCATGCCTCTTAGCTCATTTGACTCTCCTGTTTGCTAGCAACGATTCAGATGGTGAATCTGGAACTAGATGCGACAAAAGATCGTCAGAGAGTCAAGAAGGAGAGAGGCTGGTGAGGGTGGAAGGCTCCCTGCTAAATTTGTCTTCAAGCTGCCAAGGACCAGAACAATAATGAACATGGCTCTGAGCAGCTTGCACATCTTCCATCCCGAGCCTCCTAGGAATGTCCTGGAGCCCTCAGCACAGCCCTCAGCACGGAAGTGTCAGGGGTTCTTCAAACCTCTGTCCTCTGACCTTTAAAATGCAGACAAAGATACCTGCTCATCAGGGAGCACAGCACCTCCGAGCTCACATTTTCAGCTTTGATCATTCCTATGAATCAACTTGCCAGTAATTAATGCGAAGCACTCACTATGGTTTGTTCCGAGTGTTAGATCCGGTTCTTTAAAAATCAATAGCCATGTATGAGACCTCCTTAAATCCTCATAAAGTAGACACCAGCCCTGCCTCCTGCCTGTCCTCTGAGCTGTGAAAAGTCACATGATCAATATCATTAAGAAAAAGCAGGCACCACCCTCCCCACCCCCCTGCCCTGCAAACCAGCTAGGGGTTCTGGAGCCTGTGATTGCGACTAAAGCAACACGCAACCTTCTGGCCACAAGCTGACCCTGGGGCTGCCTCCTAAGAGTCCCTGACACTCCGCAGACCTTGGGGCGGAGTGGAGTTCAAAGAGAAAATCTATTTTTAATGACTTGGGGGAGAAGAGTGCAGTGGCTGAGTAATTCGGAGTAATTAAAGCTATCTATCACTCAGAGAGTGGAATCTAAAGTTGGTTGAACTTTTCAATGACAGTTTTTCCCTCCTCATTCATAAAACTCAGCAGAGGGCTATGCAGGAGACAAAGGGGAGAAGGTGGTGGGAAAAGAAACTTCTGGCCCCTAAGAGTGATGACATTTATCCCTTTGATGAACACTAAAGCAATGGCCTCTTGGCTTCTCCTGGATCCACCCCCCCACCCCCCCCCCAGGTAGAGGCCATATCTTGTACTGGTTAAGAAGACATTCTCTGAAGGAAATAGTCCTCAGTTTCAAAGCCAGTTCTCTGCTTAGCGGCTGCATGACATTAAGTTGTCAGCTCTCCTTATGCCTCCGTGTCCTCCTCTGCGAGATGGTGACACTAACGATATCAACTTCACAAGGTTGTGTGGGGGTATCCGTGACACCTGTACACAAAGGGCCCTGCACACAGTCGGTGCTCAATAGTGGTAGTTCTCATGCTCAGTCTCTATTTGCAGACCCCACTGAAGGTGGCAGTGTTTGCATGGGAAAGCTGCAAAGGGCCCTGGCCCAGGCTCTGCGCTCAGGTGCTGAGTGACCTTGAGCCGGCCACCTCGCCTCTCCGGGCGGAGACTGCTGGTCTGTCATACGGGGAGAATTATGTCTGCCCTTTGCATGGAGAGCAGTGCAGTCACTCAAACCATCGTCTTTAGGAATGACATAATCCCTACTTGAGGCCAAAGTGCACGGAGACTCACGCTCCTCTGCCGAACGAAGTCACATCAAGCTTAGTCTGCTAAGGATCAAGGTAAAACGTGGGCAAAGAAAAATCACAAAGAGGGTAGGAAACTGAACGGGCAAAGCAGATATTCCAAACGCCATACCATATTAGTAGGAGCTCTGGACCAGAAATACGAGGGGAGAGGAAGTAGGGCCTTTCTAGTTCTATTTTTTGGAAGGATCCACAAAGAGGCAGAGATGCAGATACTATGTTGTCTCCATGACAACCATGGGTTTATTCAGTTAGGGAAAGTGGGTGGGATGGGAAATGCGGGATGAGTGGGATGGAGAGATGGGGCCTAAGAAATAACTTTAGCGAATCTCCCACCTGGGAACCAGATGCCCGGGACTGACCAGGTCCCACAGAGTTCCCTATGGGGTCAACATCAACCGCTCTACTCCAGGAGGGGAAAGGTGGTGAGGGCAAGGGGGTGGAGCAACAAGGCAGGGATGCCCCTACATGTACCCGTTACCGTCCATCCACTTCCTGCTTCCACCTGCCCAGGTGGAAGGTCGTGACATTGGCTCCCAGCCAAGCTCCAGTTTCTGTCTCCTGGTGCCCAGCTGCACTTCTGGCCCTGACATTGGCACTCCTGGTTATTGATACAAGCAGGTGGGTTCTCAGGGGCTCCTGGACACTAATTTTCCATTCTTTATATCTCCCCTGGAATCTGCTTCTGGGCTCATGAAGAGACCCCTGGTGAAGTTCCCCCCGTCACCTTGACAAAGGGAGAGCAATCCTACCAAAGAGCATAAGAGTGTCCAAGCCCAACTTGGACACCTAAATCAACAGCTAGGCACGTAAGAAAGGTCAGGGCCAGCTTAGCTTTACCCATTGGCCTTGGATCTGAGATGGGCCTCTACCTCTCCACCTAAGGAGCTGTATAGATCCAAGCAGATAAGAAGCCATTGGAGGCTCAAGTTGTAAAACAGAATTTGGGTTTCCAGTGGCTCTTCTGGAGCGCATCCGCTCAGCCATCTCCCCAGTTTTCTTTCGACCCACCTGAGACGTGGCCATCTTGTCTTCCCATCAGAAAATATCCTCTCTGATTTTTCATCAGATGCTAAGTGGCTGGCTCCCTTGGGAAGGACAGAGCAGTGTTTTGTCACTCCTAGCTTCCTAGGACAAATTAGTAGTTCAGTGGATGAGCACAGAGAGAGAGAGAGAGAGAGAGAGGTGGTAGATAACAGTACATATTCTTTTTAAAGCAAGAGTTTCATTTTTTTAAAGTTGATTTATTTATTTTGAGAGAGAGAGAGAGAAGGAGAGAGGGAGAGAGAGGGCGTTCAGCAAAGCAGGAGCAGGGATAAGACAGAGAATACCAAGCAAGCTCTGCGCTGTCAGTGCTGACCTGGGGCTCAATATCACAAATTGTGAGATCCTCACCTGAGCTGAAACCAAGAGTCAGATGCTCAACTGACTGAGCCACCCAGGAACCCTGATAACAGCACATGTTAAGTCTCTGCCTAAGGGGTAAAAAAGTCTCCTACACATATATTAAATTTGAAAAATTTCCTTTCTGTACAGAGCTCATTTATACGTCCTTATCATTCATGTCATTCATTCATTCACTCATTCATTCATTCATTCATTCATCCTTTTAACACTGGGAAAGGGTGATGTGTGAGGGAGGGCTGTGTTGCTTCAGGAATCTGTGTAGACTCGTCAATTGCATAAAGACCATTCTGCTGGGGCAGCAGTGACCACAGGGTCACAGTATGGGTTGACTAACCTGGCCTGGTACATACACATTCATGAGTGGACCTGCATATGGTTGTGTATAATTTGATGTTTATAATCTGGCTTTTATACTTGGGTTTTATATTTGTCCACTGGCTTATTCATTCACACACTCATTCATTAGTCCATCCAAGTATGAATCCTTCATTCATTCGTCTGCTCATATATTCAACAGACCAGGTACCAAGCCTCACATGCGGTGTCACGAAAACAAGGTGGTCAAGGTCTTACGGTGCCCTCGAGAAGCAGACCCTTTGCTGTGTAGGTTGGAAAGTGAAAGTGTCATATGAGACACTCCTCGCTGAGGGTGATCTCCTCCGGCTGGAGGGACCATGAGGCCTTGAAAGCTTGGTGATATTTCGATAGGCAGGAATGGAGGAAGGACAGTCCACAGGGAGAGAAAGGCACGAGCCAAGACCAAGCAAGAGAAGACGCAGAGAGGATTCCAGGAACGAGCATTATCAGAGCCAGGGAAGGGGCAGGGAAGGTGGCTGAGGGGCACCGTGGAATGCCAGGGTGGTGCAAACAGAGCAGAAGGGAGGAAAAGGAGAAGTTCTGCATTTCCTCTTTCATGATGTGTCCCCCACCCGCCCCTGGCACTGCATCCCTGCGGTCCCCCTCAGCCCACGTCCTCAGAGCGGGATGGTGGCGGCTGGCCCCGTTGGTCTCCCTTCTATTCTCCGCTCAGCAGATGTGTCCTGCACACCCTCGTTTTCCCTTTCCTTCAGAAAGGTTGACCCAGGAATGGGTCCTAGTGTCTGATCGCCGGGTCCGAATCCCAGCCCCGTTATTTATCAGCTGTGTGACCTTGGGCACCTTGCTTAGCCAAGCCTCAGTTGTTCATTTGTGCAATGGTGATGATAATAGCACATATTTACATAAGACCCACAATCTGCAGGTGAGGAAGAAGTGGAGGCACAGAGAGGCTTAGTGAATTTATTTACGGTCACACAGGCAGGAAGTTGCCGAGCTGGGATTCCAGCCTTGGCAGACTGGCTGTGGAGCTCATGCTCCAAACTTCTACACATATTATTTCTTAGCCCTGAAGGGTGGCACAGGTTAGAAAACTGTTAGCCTGGTTCCTAGCATACAGCTGTTAGTTATAATTAATAGGTACATACTAAGTCCACGCTACGTATCTTGTATCGGCACGAAATTCAAAAGATGAACAGCTATCGCCCTAATCTTAAAGTGTTCAGAGTGTTGAATGGAAAACAGATTACCCCGCCCCCAAATGATAATGAAATATTAGCTGTAGGGTTGAGATGTGGTACAGCTACAGGAGCAAAGAGGAAGGGAAATCATGGAAGGCTTCCAGGAGGCAGTGTGTTACAACGATGCCCTTAGTGAAAAAAACCTAAAGAATACTAAAAATAAAACAAAACAAAAAAACCCCAAACCAAAACAAAAAAACTGCCTCTTGGATGAAGTTTATAGTCCAAATGCCCTGCCTGGTATTTGTGTCTTTTAACCTCTGCCCCCACCAGATTGATATCTCCAGACTCCCTCTGTCAGTGTCAACCCCCACTCCACTCCCAGCAGGGTCATCTCTCATGCTCTGCACAGCTCCCCCTCTGCCCCTCTTTAACTTTGCTCACCCATTCCTGCTAATGAGAGTGTCCTCCCCTCTCCTGCTCAGTTGCAAATCCCTGGGCTTCCCCTCCTCCATGCAGCCTTCCTGGATCAACCTCCATGATGTCTCTTTCTGAATTTAGAATCTGACTAGCTGCCCAGTCGGCAGGACTCTAATGCACTTTGCAAACTCTTCTTAGAGCTCTATCTTTTTAGGTTACTCATACGGTTCTGCTTTTTACTTCATCGTATGAGATATCCCTGTATGCTCTGACTTTAGTTTCTTACACAAAATAGGTCTATAAATACCTGCTGAGAAGCTAATCACACTTGCCCAGTGATCCAGGTTTTATTTTAAGCTTCTTAAGTAAATGTACTAAGAACTATGCGAAGGTTCTCTAGGTGTGGCTGGCACCCCTGGCATTCTGCTGGGGTCCATTAGGCGATGTGAAGGTTGCTTTTTCTGTTTTTTTTCTTTTTCTTTTTTCTTTTTAAATAGACTTAATGTTTGTAACCCAGCAGAAGTGCATGGTGTCATGGAAAGGACATGGCTGTCAAAGTTAGAAGAACTTGGTTCAGCATCACCATGCACTTGGCTGGGCTGGATGAACCCCTTAACCTCTCTGAGCCTCAGTTTCCACATTTGTAAATATTATCAGATATCAAAGCACCGAGTTACCATGAAAGCCATACACTCACGAAGGTGGCAGACTATCACACACTGATAGTCTTCTGTCCTTTATCTTGGGTCCTGGCCCCAGATCAAAGACATACAGGAGCCAAGGAATGAAAAGGAGAAGATACTGTGAGAGGTTTGGAGGAAGCCCTTGGAATGCTGTAACCTAGCCGTCTTTTAAAAGGACTTTACCAGGAGGGCTTGAGATGCATGCCCTAGACTGTAGAGGACAGAATGGACAGGAAAGCCAGAGAGCCAGCTGGTGAGCTCTTAGGAGGCAGAGCGAAGGCAGAGTGAGGGCAGGGCCTTGGGGTGTCACGGAGCACCCTCACTCTGGTGACAGCGGTGGGCCCAGCACGTGCAAGTGCTTCCTTGCACCAAATCCGGAGTTGGCCCCCTCAGGAAGGAGAGCTGGCCTGGAAGCATTTTGTGACCTGTCCAAGAGAAACCCCTGGAGCTGGGTTCCATGTGGAAGAAAGTTCTGGAGATTCAGGGCTGGGAGGAGACAGGAAATGCTCCCCACCTGACCAGAGCTGCAGCCACAGGAGCTCAGCAGAGGGGTATCCAAGGACCCATGAGGGACCCAGCCACACAAGAGTCAGAAGTGTAGGCCAGCTCTGAGACAGGAGGCTATCTTGTGTCAATTCTAGTTCAAGTGCAAAAGGGTCTCTCTGACCCTTCCTCTCTGCTTCCTCGAAGGGTTCAGTAACGACAGTTCTGCTGGGGAATAGAAGTGAGAAAAAGAGCAAAAACAACCCTCCCATCCCTCGTGGCTCCTGGTGGGGGGTGTGCAGGGGGCCCAGGCCGCAGGGCAGGGGAGATCTGAGCTTCCGACAAGGCCAGAATTTTCTTCTGGTCTGGAATTGGACTTTATAACGGAATTAAGACTGTGTTTGAGACTTGAAGGCCTTGGTATTGCTATCCAAGAGTGAGCTGACGAGCCTTGCAGGGCTTGAGACAGAGGTGAAGGGACCGTGGGAGACAGGCGAAGGGACCATGGGAAACAGAATAAAGCAGCGGGATTTGGTGCCATCCCCCAACGTGATGGCACTGGCGGGCATGAGAATGCTAAGGGCCGCGTCCCTAACTCTCCTGTCTTGGTGCTGGTCACGTGAAGAGAGAGCCACAGCACTGCCTGGTTCAGGATCAGGCTTATTACACACATCCGGGGGTGGGGGTAGGGGGGGAATTCCTGGTGTTGCTTCTGGGGACAAATCGATAACTTCCTGATAACGTGATCTGAAATAAAAACAAGACTCTGGGTGTCAGCTCTTGGATGGTTTAGCTGACCGTTGTGTCTGAAACCGTGGTGCCCTTCCAGGCAGAGCAGAGGGGGAGCCCATTCTCTTTTTCTTTCTTTTTTTTTTTTTAATATTTTTATTTATTTCTAGGAGAGAGATAGAGAGAGAGAGACAGCGTGAGCAGGGGAGGGTCAGAGAGAGAGGGAGACACAGACTCTGAAATAGGCTCCAGGCTCTGAGCTGGCAGTCAGCACAGAGCCCGACGCAGGGCTCGAACCCACGAACTGCGAGATCATGACCTAAGTGAAAGTCAGACGCTTAACCGACTAAGCCAGCCAGGCGACCCCCGTTCTCTTTTTCAAGTCAAGTGGCTCATGAGTCAAAAGATTCTGAAAACTGCCCCACTGGGATGCCTCAGGAGACGCAAGCACCGTCATTGAATGTGACATCCCAGGCTGGTCTAATGAAGACAAGGGTGTTGGGAGGAGCTGGCTTCTGGCGAGAAGCCCTCTGGGTGCCCCGGCCTCTCTGCTCCCAGGCCACAGCTCAATCAATGGGGAAGACAGCTCTGAGCCCCGCCCCCCCTTGCCTGGAGGGTGGTGGTGGGGAATGTTTCAATCCTTCCTTTCCTCCCTGCTTTCTATTCCTGGCCTCCTTCAGTGGCTGCCTCACATGTAACCAATGTCAGGGAGCCGCTGGGGACAGAAGGGGGTGGAGGGGAACTTGAGGAAATGGATGAGAAACAAAAGATCCTTTTCCCTTTTTTTTTTTTTAACAGGTGCTTAGGAAATTAATTAGAGCAAATAATCACCAAGTTGTCTGAGTCTCTATTTTATTTGGTGCATGCCGGGTCTGCTGGAAAAAAAAAAAAAAAAGAAGGGGGAATTTTAAATAATTTTGGAGTTATAACTGATGTAATTAGGTGCTCAGTGAACACTTAGCATCGAGCTGTGCTTATTAAAATTACTGTTTTAATCAGAACATTGCTGGAGAATCATTAATAATACAATGGCTTGATTCCCTGGAACTCTAATTAGACCTGGACTTTTAACCACCTGAGCGTAATCGGGCTCCGTCTGGATGCGCACCACGGGTGATGCATTATCATTTCGGGGCAGGAGGGGATGGAGCATCAATACTGCTATTTAGCGACTGCCTAAATGCTTTATTTTGGAGTGTGAGAGCGTGTTAAGGAGGCTCAGGGGCACTGATGCTGAAAAGGTGGAGATGGAAGTGGGGGGGGGGGTCAGCCAAGGGCTCGGGGCTGGAGGTCTTCAGGAAGAAAAGGCAGGAGACACTTCTCCCGCTGTAGGACATGCTTATACAACGTTGTGCAGGGGAAGCAAGCAAGCCATAATGTCGCAGACCCAGCTAAGGGCCATTTCCCAGGATGCTCTGCCTTTGCGGGGCCCTGCCTGTCATCCAAACCAAACACAGGTCCAGACGGGTAGAGCTTTAGTCCCTGGCCAAGCCACGGTCATCAGAAATCCGATCAATCCCTCCCTACGGGATAACTAAAAGTTAATCTGGTGAAGGGCTGGGGCCACTTCTTAAATCTTCCTGTCTAGAACTCTGGGTCACCCTAGAGACAGACTGTGAGACGGGCTGAACTTTTCCAGAACTTTCCAATCCTTACGGACATACATGTCGTGGTTAACTAGCTCCAAAGCTTGGAGGGAGGCTGAGGGGATGTGTTCGTGTCCCCTGAGCTGTTTGGCTGAGCTGGTGTTTGGGGAGCGGGGTCACTGCCCCGGCTCTGAGTACAGAGCTTTGGTTTCCCCTTAGCGGGCAGCTCAGTTGTATCAACATCGATTCGGCAGCCGCCGGGGGCGGAGTCCTTGGATAGATGTCACAGGGGTGGCCGCAAGCAAAGGAAATGGAAACAGGCTCTCTGCCCTCCTAGCGCTTGCTAACTAGTTGGAAGGACATGACAAAGATGTGAAAACAAGATTTAGGATACTTAAAAGGCAGACACTGAGAAGGGAAAATTAAGCCGGAGTGGGGCAAGGGCACTCGGAGTTAAGTGGTGATCAGAACACGGCGGGATTAATCAGAAAGGGGGTAAAGGCCTTCCGGAGGAGGACGTGGGGCCAGGGAGGGGAGGCGGCCTTCTCTGTGCCCTCATTAATCATTCTTCTGGCTGCTACTGGAGGCCTTGAGACAACAAGATTGAACTCTCTGAAGCTCCCTCTCTGGACGTCTCTAGCCAGGTCAGCACTTTTGTGCAATTGGAAAAAGGCGCCCCCTCTGGGTGCATGATTGGCGAGATGAGTGAGGACTCCTTTTCAGCCTCCACTTGCCCCTCAGCCAGAGGCTTTTGTGCAGTATACAACCTGAACCATCATAGCTGATGGCCACGATCCCCAAAGTCTCTAGGGGAATAAGAGTTGAAATGTATAGTGTGTCTACTGGTGGTTGAGCCCAGCTGAGCTAGAGATAGAATATTTTTTTAATGCTTATTTATTTATTTTGAGAGAGAGCGAGATAGCAGGGAAGGTGCAGAGAGAGAGAGAGAGAGAGAGAGAGAGAGGATCCCGAGCGGGCCTCTTGCTGTCAGTGCAGAGCCCGATGAGGGGCTCAATTCCACGAACCATGAGATCATGATCTTACCTGAAAGTAAGTCTGACACTTAACCGACTGAGCCACGCAGGTGCCAGAGATACAATATATTTTTAAGTGGGAAACCTGGTGCCTCTTATAAGCCCTGTGGGAGCTTGCTGCGCGGCACAAAAGGTTGTGGTCCAGAACGGGCTGAGGAGCAGAGAAGTCGCCATGGAAAGGGTGGGACGCGAGGAGGGCAAGGCGAGCGTCTGGGGCAGCAAAGCATCGTAAGAAAGAACGAGCTTCGAGGTGTGTTCTGGGGAGAGCGAAGGACACCGCAAGAATGTCCCCATTCAGATTTCTTTTCTTACTAGTTCCGCTGGGAGTCGATGTTTTAAGTAAGAATCAAAAAAGTAAAACAACTTGGGGCACCTGGGTGGCTCAGTCGGGTAAGCGTCCTGCTTCGGCTCAGGTTGTGATTTCACTGCCTGAGAGTTCGAGCCCCGCGTCGGGCTCTGTGCGGACAGCTCCGAGCCTAGAATCTGCTTCGGATTCTGTGTCTCCCTCTCTCTGTCCTCTCCCACTCGTGCTCTCTCGCTCTCTCTAATATAAAATGAAGCATTAAAAAAAAATAAAACAGGGGCGCCTGGGTGGCTTAGTAGGTTAAGCATCCGACTTTCGCTTAGGTCATAATCTCACGGTTCGTGGGTTCGAGCCCCGCACGGGCTCTGTGCTGACGGCCAGCTCAGAGCCTGGAGCCTGTTTCACTCTGTGACTGCCTCTCTCTCTGACCCTCCCCTGCTCACGCTGTCTCTCTCTCTCTCTCTCCTAGAAATAAATAAAAATATTAAATAAATAAATAAATAAATAAAACATAGTAAAGCGACCCTAGGCCTCTCTCAAGGAAGCATGGCCTAAAGGAAGAATTTCCTATAAACCAACAAGTCGAGGAGGGAGGGAGCTCGGAGGAGAGGCCCAAGGTCCAGATGCGAGCGGATCCCCTCCAACTTCCGAGATTGTCTCAGGGGACAGAGAGGCTGGCAGGCCCCTCATCCCTCTCAGGGCTCCCTCAGCCTCTCCCGTACTTCCAAAAAAAGCGTACGATGACCCCTACACATGCCCCGTCGCCCCACAGACGTGTGTCCTCACGCAAACACGGCTGTGAACACAAACACACATTCATACCGCACACTCGCATTGCACACTGACACCCTGACACCATACACACACCTCACACACCGTCCCTTCACGGGCTCATGCAGACATTCTATACACACGGTTGTATCACACACACTCGTAGCACACGGAGGCTCCCCCACTCGCACCGGCCCCTCCCGCCCCAGCCCTGCACACAACCGCAGGTGGGGAGAGCCGTCAGGCGCTGTCTCCCTCGGGTGTATAGTGAAGAAGGATTAGGGCTGCCCAAGATTAAACAGAGGAGTTAAAAATGACAAACAGACTTCCAAACAGGATTAGAGGCTTAATGAAAACCATAATGAATGGAAGCGCCACCCAGATATCATCCATTAATGGCCATAAATATCAGACCAACAGATGAGATCTCAGATACTGCAGTTCTGAGCCCCATCAAATTACTTCCATTGTAATTCATCAATAAATAACCAAGCCCAGCCTCATAGGTGAGGTCTCATCATGCTTCAAAGAATAGACTCTGAGGCCAGACAGACCCCGGGCTTGAATTCTGGTTTCGCCCGTGACAGGCTTGGGAATGCTACGTGAGCCTCAGTTTCTTCATCTATAAAATGTGGATAATTATCCCCCTAATAGGGATGTTGTGGAGATTAAATTAAGTCCTGCCAGGCTCTAATAATAATTTATAATAATATTAATAATTTATTATTACGGTTACAATTAATTTTCACCGTTAGCTCTTGTTCCCTCCCCTTCTCAGCCTCTTGGGGTCCAGGAGAGCCAATTGGCTGGTGCCGGAGGGAGAAAAGGAAAAAGGAGAAAGAAGATGATGGAAGGACAGACAGCACGTCTCCCAGATGCCACAGGCTGGCACGACCCCGGGTGGGCTGCCCTGCCTTCCAGGGGAAGGTGATGCTATGGGGTAGCCACACGGGGCCGGCCTTCCTAATAGTTTTTGAAATAGCAGTGTTATCGAGATATAATTCACTTTTCATAAAATTCACCCATGCGAAGTGTACCGTTCAATGGTTTTTAGTATATTCACAGGATTCTGCCACCATTAGCACAATCAATTTTAGAACTTTTTCATCCCCTCCAGAAAGAACCCCCACACCCACTGGCAGTCCCTCCCCGTGCCCCTGTCTCCTGCCCCCTGACAACTGCTCCCGCTCCAGGCAGTCGACTTTCTGTCCCTGTGGACTTGCCCGTTCTGGGTATTTCATGTAAATGGAAGCACACAGTATGCGGCTTTTGTGGCTGGCTTCTTTCACTTAGCATGTTTTTGAGGTTCATCCATGTTGTAGCATACATTAGTAACCTCTTAAATTTCTTTTTTTTTCTAATGTTTATTTATTTTTTAGAGAGAGAGAGTGTGTGTGCGAGGGAGGGTCAGAGAGAGAGGGAGACACAGAATCCAAAGCAGGCTTCAGGCTCTGAGCGGTCAGCACAGAACCTGATGCGGGGCTCGAACTCATGAACCGTGAGATCATGACCTGAG